GATACGACGTGCCCGAGAATCGTAAGTTGCCGAGCAGCGAAATGACACTTCTTGAGGTTGAGTTGGAGCTGAGCATTCTTCAGGCACGTGAGGACGTGTTTGAGGCGCTCGAGATGTGTTCCAAAGTCTGGCGCAAAGACGACTATATCGTCGAGATAGCAGAGACAGATTTGCCATTTCAACCCCGAAGAACCGAGCCCATCATGCGCTCGAAGGTGGCAGGCGCATTGCAGAGGCCGAAGGGCATGACATTAAACTCATACAGACCGTCCGGTGTCACGAACGCTGTTTTTGGTCGATCGCCATCTGCAAGGGGGACCTGCCAGTACCCTGAGCGCAAATCTAATGATGAAAAAAACTCGGCACCTTGTAAAGTATCAAGGGCAACGTCAATCCTGGGTAAAGGATACACGTCTCTTCGAGTGATTTTATTTAGGTGCCGGTAATCCACGCAGAAGCGAACAGAACCATCCTTTTTTTTTAACGAGCACTACAGGTGAGGCCCATGGACTTTGTGAAGGTTGAATGATGCCACGTTGCAGCATATCGTTCACCTGTTCGGTAATAACTTGGCGTTCCGCCGCAGAAACACGATATGGTCGCTGTCGTAGTGGCGCATGGGAGCCGGTATCGATGTAATGTAGAGTGGTAGAAGTGCGGCCAAGTGAAGGTTGAACAACATCGAAAGATTCGCGGTACTGGTACAGCAGTTGGAGGAGTTCAGATCGTTCAGATGGTGACAGTCCGTCTGCGATCGCCGAATCGAACACTTTTGAAGCCTGTAGATGAGAGTGGTTAAGAGCACTAACGGCGACGAGGTCACTTTGAGATGATTCTTGCGGCACGGTAAAAATTTGCCCGTTATCAATGGGCTGTACGCATCCAAGAGACTCGCCCTTAAACAGTTTGATGGTATGCGGAAAGGGATTGGTAAGGCAGAGAGCACTGGCTCCATTAGAAATTGAGAGGGCTGAATAAGGGAGCAGAAGTGGTTTCCGACTTAGAAAGAGGCTTGATGGCTCGAAAAATGCTACTTCATCACGCATGCCGTCAGAGACCACAGGGAGCAAAACAGCTGTTGTCGGTGGAATGTCAGTGTCTTCTTTGACAACTAGCTTGTGCGCAGCTTGATTAGTGTGGTCGTAGGGCTGGTCGAAGAACGGAAGCAGTTCAAGTTCGGAACGGGCACAATCTATAACGGCACGATTACGGGATAGGAAATCCCAGCCAAGTATGATGTCATGAGAGCACGAGGAAAGGACGATAAACTCAACAATGTAGTGGTCCTCCGCAATTCTGAGTCGGGCAGTGCAGGCGGCTATAGGTCGAACAGGCTCTCCATTTGCTGCACGTAAGAACATATCAAGTGGCATGGTCACCTTTCGGAGCTTGCGGCAAAGTTTGGCGTCTATAACAGACACAGCGGCACCGGTATCTACAAGAGCGTATGCATGGGCGCCGTCTACAGAAACTTTGACGATATTTGACGGCAAGGTGCGAGGACTTGAAGATTTCGATAGCGCAGTTCTTGCCCCTTGAACTGCGACGGCTAGTTTCCCTCATTTTGAGGGGCTGGTCGTGGACGCATGGGTGACAAGGAGCATCGATTGGGTGAAGGTGAGCGACGAGACGAAGTTGCTGGATAGTCACGGGAAGACGTGTTTGACTGACGATCCGAACTTTCATAACCAAAAGGTGGTCGGTCCATGTGGTTGCTTCGTGGTCGGACGTCTGTGTAGGCGGGCACGCGACGACGGCAGTATCGGGAGATATGGCCAGGTCCGCCGCACGCAAAACAGATCGGCCAGTTATCGCGCATTCGCCAGGCATTTGCAGCAAGGGGCGCCGCCCACGCGGCATACGGCTGAGTCGAGGCTGTGGTAGCGAGGGGAGGAGCCCATGCGATGGAAGACTGAGTAGGAACGGTGACATGCGGCAGTCCATTGAACGGCGAGGGCTGGTGTGGCTGCTGCCTCTTTACTGCGTCAGCATAAGTAAGAGGCGCGGCGACAACTTGCTGCTGAAAGGGCACTGGCATAGCCTCGGCAATCTGGTCCTGAAGTGCATGTCGGAGCATGGGAGCTAACGGTGTCGGTGGTTGCTCTTGCTGCTGCTGCGGGAGCTCTTGGCGCTGACAAAACGGCAGGAGGGAAAGCTGACGTGCGACCTCCTCACGCACAAAGTCTTTCATTTGTGCTAGAAGGCGGGAGTGGTCAGGTACGACGTCCAGTGCAGCGAGTGGTTGGTTAGGCTGAAATGGACGACGGGTGAGAGCTCGTTGCCGTCGCAATTTGTCGTAGTTCTGGCACAGAGTTACCACTTCAGACACCGTGCCAGGAGACTTCGCCAGGAGCATTTGAAAGACGTCGTCATCAACACCTTTCATAATGTGCTGGATCTTGGCACTTTCGCTCATTGCGGCATCGACGCGCTTGCAGAGATCGAGTATATCTTCGATATAGGCGGTAAACGTTTCGCCAGGTTCTTTTGCCCGTGAGCGCAGGCGTTGTTCGGCACCCAACTTCCGCACGGCAGAACGACCGAAAACCGAGGATATTGCCTGCTTGAAAGTGGCCCAGTTCTCGAACTCTGATTCATGGTTTGTGTACCACAGTTTCGCCACATTAGCCAAGTAAAAGTTGACGGTGCTCAACTTAGCAGTGTCATCCCACCTGTTTGGTCCACTGACTTTTTCGTAGGACGACAGCCAGTCCTCGACGTCCTGGTCTTCGGCGCCGGAAAAGATCGGGGGGTCTCGCTGGTGAACCGGGCCGGGGCAAGTAGGAGCCGCGAGAGGTGCTGTCTGTTGGGCAGCGTCAACTTGCATGGTCGACGGCAGGGTGCGGGATCGGAGTTCCAGGGTGTAGGTGATGCAGTTACCCAGCACGATCCACCAAATGTAAAGGGGGTTTATTGAAGGACTCAGCAAGCGGGTGGTAGCTCTAAAGGAAGGCAGGCGAACCCAGATGACGGTGCTTGATCGCCGATCTCGTGCCTTTTTCTTGTGCTGATGATAGCTGACCTGATGGTATCAACGTCTTTCTTATTCACTACAGTTTGAATATTCGAACTATTTGAATATTTGCCGAGGCCTAGTTTTAGGTGCTGAGTGACCCACCAGTAGTCGGTCATTGGGTATATATATCCTCTGGGTGTGTTGCAACCCACTGGTGGGACACCCGGTTATGACTTTCTTTTGCTGCAACAAGATGGCACTGTCACTTTTGTAAACGGTGTTGGTGCCTCTACTTAAAAGATGCAAAGCTGTTGTTTGCCTTCTTCACGTGAATCTATGTTTAACTACAAAGTGCTTGCCACAAGAAAATACATGTAGTCAGTTTCTGTGATAAGTGAATTTCTTTCCTCTGTGCTGCACTTTCTTTTCCAGAGGTAAAAGGCACAAGCCTCCATTAGGCGCGCTCAGAAGTTTTGGAGCAGTAGTTAAAACTGATACACTTAGTCCAACAGCTCATATTTCAAAAATTGTGGTAAAATTCGCAAGCAACACAACAGAAATATGTGCTAGCACTCAATTCCTCAGAAACTATTATGCCCCTGATGTCCCATGCAATAGACAATATATATTAGTTGCGATTTCGAACATCAGACAGCAGCACATGATGGAAAGCTCCTGTGCACGAGTCATCAGACAGCAGCACATGATGGAAAGCTCCTGTGCACCAGTCAACGGTGGGTCACGCCACATACAAAACAAAAATTCGATTGATTTGATTTGTGGGGTTTAACATTCAAAACCACCATATGATTATGAGAGATGCCATAGTGGAGGGCTCTGGAAATTTGGACCACCTGGGGTTCTTGAACGTGCACCCAAATCTGAGCACATGGGCCTACAACATTTCTGCCTCCATCGTAAATGCAGTCGCCGTGGCCGGGACTCGATCCCGCGACCTGCAGGTTAGCAGCCGAGTACCTTAGCCCCTAGACCACCGCAGCGGGGCCACAAAACGAAAATTCTTATTGAGTGTATCGAGGGTCACCAGTGGGTCATAGCCTTTAATATCATACAAGTACTTTTTCTGGGTGTGTGTATCCTCATGCAACAAAAATCATACCTCTACGTTCAAATGTCATCAAGTTATTGCAGCCACAAGCAGATAAATACCCATAACTTCGCAGCCGCATAAGTCGACCACAGGTCGTGACGTATGACACAATGAATATGTTAAGGCAAACAATGCTTAAAATGCAGTACTTGCATTGTCAGCAGATTACAATGCATGTAGTAAAAGCTATGTGCTTATGTGCTTTCAATCATGAGTTGAGTCTTCATTAAGAATGACTGCCTTTGAGATTAAAGGTAACCTTTGCCGGTAGCAGCAGGGGGGGCACAGAATTTTTTTTACTGTGGAGGTGGGGCACCTACAACAAGAGAGTTCGTTCGAAGGAGCAGGGAGAAGCCGAACTTCCGCGTTGTGTTTTGACTGAGTAAGGGTGGGGTGGGGGGAGCAGCACCAGCAGTGCTACTTTGGTAAAGCAGATGCATTGATCAGTGTCTGGATCACCAGAAAGGAGTAAAAGTTAGCCGTTAGTTCATTTATTGGTGCAAAAGTTGATTTAATTTGATACGTGAAGTGTAACATCCCAAAACCGCCATATGATTATGATAGATGTCTTTGTGGAGGGCTCCGGAAATTTCCAGCACCTGGGCTTCTTTAACATGCACCCAAATCTGAGCATATTATTGGTGAGAAAGTGATGCTGCAGAAAAGAAGAGAAAGAGGAAGGATCCCACAGCCCAATGTAAAAAAATATTGGGGCTCTGTAAAGTCAGAAAGTATGAGAAACCCTGTTCCAGGACAAAAAATCCCAAAGACACACCTCCCAATTCCCTGCTGTTCATGAACAATCACATAGTAGTGTGCATAACAAGTTAATGAGACAAGCGGCAACTTCGTCCCAACACCTGCGTACAATTTAAAAGTAAAGCAAGTCTGGCCATCACTAAGAGGAAAAAAAAAAAAACATAGCAAACTCACTTGTGTCCACTGCATTTGTTGGCTGTCATCTTCAGGCAGCAGACGGGCAAGGGCGATGCACGACAAACAGGCCGCATCAGGGGTCAGTCCTTCCACTGCTGCCAGCAATGTGTCTTCAAGAGCAGTGATGTTCCAGCTTTGGCCCTGAGTAGTGAAGGCCAACTTCAAGTCATTGCGACCATGACCAAAAGTTTCTAAGATTCCCTACCAAGTCCTTCAAGGCATACAGCTCCCCAATGTTTAGATGCAGGTAAGTGCAGTACACTTATATCGATATCCAAGTGCCAACAAAATCCCATCGTTACAACTGATAACTGTTATAAGGAAGTTGAGTAAATGACAAAAGAGAAGTCAAAACATTTTAATTCCATGCAAATAAGGTGGTACAGTTATGTGCTATTGTTTGTAGACAAGCCATAGCCTATCAGCTATAATAGCTTCATACAAAGCCTAACATAATTTCCTCAAGAGCATCAGAGTGCTCCACTAGCTGACCAGGAGGTCCTTCGGGAAAATAATGTCCCAGATGGACTGCATCATTCGTAACCGTCCTACGATGAGAGTGCCCGACTAGGCAGCTCAGCCACGTCGTCTGAGTCACCGCTCTCACTGCTGTCCGCCACACATACACAACTAACAATCACCTCATTACTGAGGCACTCGGACGTTGCCACAACACCATCAGCATAAAGTAAGAGATCCAGACAAGACGCATTTTCATTAAGCACTGGCCACAACTCTGCCAGCTCTTCCCTGGTGCAGCTCTTTCCAGGCCTCTCCTGGAATCGCTTCGAAATTTCGCAAGGAAAGCTCCTCCTCCACTTGCTTCCTCGCAAAAAACACCATCAGCTTGTTTTTTCTGAAGGTGTGGAAGGGGTGTGGGGTGCACAACGCTGCATGCTATAAGCATGAAGAGCCATTTTTGGCGCGCACTGTAGCCGGATTCAATCACTATATCGGATACTGCGGCAACACTAGATCATCGCAATAAGTGATTCATCATACCATAGAAAGCCTATAAAAAAGTGAACGGTGCCCTCGTTGTTCATAGCTATATCTGATATATTGTTATAGGTGGACTCATCTGTAACTCAATGCTTCAGACTTGGTTTCAGCTTCAGTACTTAAGTGTTCTTACTGCACTATGTATGTTGCAGCACAACACCGAACAAAAGCAAAAGTGCTAACTAAAGCCCTTTTATATTGGAATACTAGTTGGCATCACAAACATTGGAAAAAAGTAAATGATATGTAGTGAAGAGGAATGCTCACTACTGCAGCGACATCGACACATTGGCTCAAGGCGCGAGCTAGGACTGCCTGGTTGCTGCTGCGACGATGCCCGTACACCCAGCCAGCTCTTGCTGCTTCTGTCCCGACGCTGCTACTCCTTTTCGTCTTGCATTTACATTATATTTATTGTATTGTATGCGTATTGTATGCGTATGTCACAAAAGGCAGAATGAAGTCCCAATCAGAGTGGTCTGAGGCAACATACTTAGATATCATGTCGCCAAGGGTACGGTTGAATCTTTCCGTCAAGCCATTCTTTTGGGGATGGTAGGCGGTGGTAGTCCGGTGAATGATACGGCATTCGGCAAGGAATGTGCCGACTTCGTAGAGGAATACACGTCCTCTGTTGCAGAGAAGTTCATGCGGTGCGCCGTGATGGAGAATGAAGTTCCGCAGGAGAAAAGATGATACGTCGCATGCTGTGGCAGCAGGCAAAGCGGCTGTTTCGGCGTATCGCGTCAAGTAGTGGACAGCGACAACGATCTAACGGTTTCCGGAAGCCATGAATGAAAAAGGCCCGTACAGATCAATTCCAATGCGGTCGAAAGACCTGGCTGGGCAAGGAATTGGCTGGATTGAACCAGAAGTATGATGAGGCAGAGCTTTCCGTCGTTGGCACTGCGGGCATGACTGAATGTACTTGAGCACAAAGGTGTACATGCCTCGCCAATAAAACCGGGACGAAAGCCGAGCGTATGTTTTGAAGATGCCCGCATGTGTGCACTGAGGGTCAGCGTGGAAAGCTGAACATATTGCAGCACGAAGATGGCGAGGTATGACCAGTAACCACTTTCAGCCGCCAGACTTGTAATTCCTGCGATGAAGGAGGTCATAGGACTTCTCAAAGTGAACTGCTTGACGGCGCAATGTTCGAGAAGATGGAGAAGTCAACGGGTCAAAAAGGAACCGCAGAAGAGCGCTGATCCAGTCATCCTTACGTTGCTCAGACGCCATGTCAGAGTTTGCTGGAAACGCAACCATTTTGTCCACGGCAGAAAGACGGAGCTTTCCGATGATACAGGTGAACACGATAGGGCGTCGATATCAGTGTGATGTCAGCCAGACTTGTAGACAACGCGCATGTCAAACTCTTGCAGCCACAAAGCCCAGCAAGCTGAACGGCCGGAGGGGTCCTTCAATGTGGATAACTAACAAAGTGCATGGTGATCAGTGACTACATCGAAAAGGTGACCATATAGGTACGGTATAAATTTAGTTAGAGACCATATAATTGCCAGACACTCATTCTCTGTCAGAGAATAATTCTTCGCTTTGGTGAGGGTACGGCTTGCGTATGTGACTACATACTCCTAGAATCCCGATTAGCACTGCGCGAGCACAGCGCCGAGTCCAACACCGCTGGCATCAGTGTGTACCTCAATCGGAGCAGTCGGGTCGAAGTGACGCAAGATTGGCGGTGAGGTTAGCAGGTGGCGCAACTTTTTGAAGGCATCATCACAGGTGGGTGACCAAGCGTAACTTTTCGAATCTTTCCATAAAAGTTCAGTCAAGGAGGCCGTAATCATCGCAAAATTCCAAATAAAGCGGTGGAAATACAAACAGAGGCCATGGAAGCTGTGCAGATCTTTCAGCGATGCAGGTTTAGGGAACTCTGCAACTGCTTGAAGCTTGCCGGTGTCGGGAAGAATACGGTCTTTAGAGACAACATGACCGAGGATCGTGAGCTGACTTGCGCCGAAGCGGCATTTTTTCAGGTTGAGCTGAAGGCCGGCGTCAGTTAGGCACTGTAGTACTTCATCTAGCCTGCGGAGATGTGTGGAAAAATCTGGCAAAAATATAACCACGTCATCCAAGTAGCACAGGCACGTGTTCCACTTCAGGCCACACAAAAGATTGTCCATCATCCGCTCGAATGTTGTGGGCGCATTGCAAAGATCAAAAGGCATGATGCGGAATTCGTAAAGACCATCAGGTGTGACAAAGGCCGTTTTAGGCTGATCTTCAGGCACCATAGGGACTTGCCAGTAGTCGCTTTGTAAGTCAATAAAAGAGAAGAACTCTGCACCTTGAAGGCAGTCAAGGGCATTGTCGATTCTCACTTAAACGTCCTTTCGAGTTATCTTGTTAAGACGATGATAGTCAATACAAAAGCGAATCGACCCGTCCTTCTTCTTAACGAAAACGACTGGAGATGCCCAAGGGCTATTCTAAGCTGGATGACGCCACGCTTGAGCATGTCAGCTACTTTGTCACCGATAACCTGGCGCTCTGTCGCGGACACGCGATAGGGTCTTTGATACAGTGATGCATTGCTGCCCGTGTCGATACGGTGACACACAGCTTATGTGCAACCAAGGGGATTATGCTGGCAGTCAAAGGAAGAATGGAACTTGTTCCGAAGTCGTAGAAGCTGAGCACGTTGCGAAACGGTTAACGTGTCGGCGATGGAGCTGCTCAGTATGTCAAGTCTAGTAGTCTGCGGCGAAGAGGCACAGCTAAATCCAGCGACTTCATGTTCTGCGAAAGAACCAGTCGGCATGTCGATAATTGCAGAAGGGTCGAGACTGTAAACACGCCCGATACACTCGTCCCTGAAGTAGTGTTACAGGACATGACAGCAGATTTGATATGAACAGTCTGCTGACGCCATCATGAAGTTCCAAAAGGGCATGAGATAGCGGCGAACACTTGCGACGAACGAAAACGGCAGATGGCGTAAAAAGGGAACTCGACTTGGCGAGCGCATTAAAAGACACCATGGAAAGGGCAAAAGAGTGCAGCAGTATGGTAAAGTCTTCAGCAACGAATAGTTTGTCCCCGGTTTCAAGAGCGGCATATAAAGGAACGTCGCTAAACACTTCAAATGCCACCTCAGCATAAGAGCAGTCGATGATGGCCTTATTAGCAGAGAGAAAGTCCCAACCCAAAATGAGGTCATGGGAGCAGGAATCCAACACAAGCAATTCGACGACATAGATGAGGCTGTCAATCGCAATGGGAGCAGTACAGGCAGCGGCCAGCGTGACGTGCTCTGCGCTTGCTGTACGAAGCGATATACTTGCTAGTGGTGTCATAACTTTTTTGAGCAAGCGGCAAAGTCTGGCACTGATCACTGAAACTGTGGCATCAGTGTCAACAAGAGCGAGTGCAGTGACGCCATCCACATATACGTCCAGAACATTCGTCGGTGAAGAGAGGCCTTGGTCTTTTCGCGGGTGACGTAGTTCCTGCCTCTGGAACTGTGGCAATTAGTTTTCTCGCTCCGGCAATGAAGGAAAACGACGCACCTACGATGGCGAGCGGCGTCGAGGTGATTGCGAGCGACGGCTAACAGGAAGGCGGTGGTCGTGGTGCTGAGAGCCTGTGAACGAAGGACCCGGTGGCACATAAGGGGCAGGTTAGAAGCTCTGGTGGTGTTCTGGTGATAGGCAGGGACACGCCGACGGCAGTATCGCGCTATGTGGCCAGGCAGGCCACAGGCAAACCATATTGGCCGATTGTTGGGTGTATGCCATTGTCCACTACTCTGGAGGAACTTTGGCTGATTGCACCGAGGAGTGGGCACGGCTGATGGTAGTGACCTAAAAGTCTGAACAGGGGGCCTTGCGGCAACCTCAGCATAGCTTAGAGGTGCATTCACCTCGGCACAGGCTACAGGGGTCGGCAACGGCGAAGTGTCGCGGACAGATGGCAGAGCCAATCAAACTTGCTCCTGGATGACCTCACAAATGTTTGCTGGCAGATGCGATGGTGGTTGGCGAGCTGTTGATAGCAGCGACAGCTGACGAGCGACCTCAGCGCGAACAAACTCCTTGATCTGCGACAGCAGCGACTGAAGGTCAGAGGTGGTTGTCAGGCTTGAGAGGGTGTCATCTGGGACGTTAGGTCGTCACGTGAGAAGACGCTGTCGTCGTAGCTCATCGAAACTCTGACGCAGCTCGATGAGCTCCGAGACAGTGGCAAGGTTTTTCGCGAGGAGCATTTGAAAAGCGTCGTCGGAAATGCCTTTCATAATGTGTTGTACCTTGTCAGTTTCCACTATCGTCGGGCCAACACGCCAGCAGAGGTCGAGGATGTCCTCGATGTAGCTGGTCAATGTTTCACCAGTTTGTTCCGACCGGCTTCGTAGGCGTTCTTTTGCGCGAAGTTTGCGCACGCGAGGGTGTCCAAAAACAGCTGGGATGCAGGTCTTGAATGTCGTCCAAATAGGAATGTCCGCTTTGTGGTTTCTGTACCACAGCTGGGCGACATCCGTTAAATAAAACACCACAGTACTGAGTTTCATGGCATCACCCCATTTGTTGGTAGCGCTGGCTTGTTCATAGGATTCCAGCCAATTCTCAACGTCTTTCTCGTCTGTGCCGCTGAAGATGTCGGGTTCTCGCAGAAGCTGGGCACCGGGACAGGCCCTAGATGGTGAAGCCCGGGGGGGGGGGGGGGGGGTGAAGACAGCGTCGTCAGGCGTGACGGGCGGCAGCTTTCGGCTCCGCAATTCCAGGGTTGGGGAAAACTACAGCACCTTCACGAAAATATAATGTATATGCAAGGCAAAAAGCGGTAGCAGTGTCGGGACAGAAGCAGCAAGAGCTGGCCGGGTATACGGGCGTCGTGGCAGTAGAAACCAGGCAGTCCTAGCTCGTGCCTTGTGCCAACGTGTCGATGCCGCTGCAGTAGTGGGCATTCCTCTTCACTACAGATATAATAAACTATACCCTCCCACAATCCATATGCAACTCTCTTGTTTTCTTTTGCAAAGCCATAAATAAGTTTGACTTCATTTACACTAAATAACTGTTTAAGATATTGTTAAATACTACTATAATTGGGGTAAAGGCAGCTGCAAAATGGTGTATTATTCAGAATATATTTTTAAAATTATAAATGCACTAAGGACTCCCAGAATTACGCATAAATACACCATTAAAGTGGATGAAAAATAGACCGACGCTGAAGCTCAGTTGGTGGAGCATCAAATGAGTTGTCCAAAAGGTCTTCACCCATGGTAAGGCATGTTGAATTTTCATTCACTTTAAATTCTTTCTATTTATGTCATAATAACTGCACTTCAGTTAAAACCGGCAGTTAATGTCCCCTACATAATCTTTAGCTTTCCTACCGGTTGGTTTCATTCGGTTAGGTCTAACGAAAAAAAAAAAAAAACAATCCCCTGATCAATGCTCCTCTTTCGTACATGCAAAATGTGTAGCGACATGTAAATGCAGTAGAAAATGTATTTCTGAAGATAACGAACTCTTAAGAAATATTATTGCTATAGCTCGTATGAATTAGCACAACAAAAACTTTAATTTTACTTAAAATAAAACTGCATACTATACACACCTTTCCAAGGTCAAGAAAGGACTTGCTCTGAAGCACTTGGTCGAACTCCCTTGACATGAGGCCCACACAGTCATGCAGCAGGCGATTGGCAAGGGACAATGCCGACTCGGCCCACCGCACCCGTGGCAGAGTCACAGACAGGCGCTCACAATTGAGGGCCATATCAACAGCTGTCTCCGCGGTCTGAACAAGAAGGAAGAGCATCTGCTGACAGAGTGCTAACATCTCCATGACTTAACAGTTAGTCAACTTAACACATAGAAAAAATGAAAGCGTTAAGACAGACGGGACAGGAATAAATTGGATAGGACACAAACTATGCCACCTTACACACTTTTCATTTAGCATCTAAACAACTGAAGAATTACAAATCAATATATGGGGTTTTACAAGCTGAAACTACAATGTGATCATAAGGCATGACTTAGTTAAGATCAGTATGCTCTATTAGTTCCAGTACATATAAAACGTTATTACCCACCTATAAGCTGAGCAAAGAGGTTATCATAAAAAATGTCAACTCATAAAATTATGAGAGAACAGTCACATTATGTGGGTGCCTAAACCTTACTATGTTCTCATGCATGTTTGAGCTCACAAGCAACATATGTGGGTGGAAATGCATCCTACAGACTGATGATTAATGTGGCATACATCAAGTTTTTGACAAGGTAAAATTTCGGGCAGAGGCGGAAGACATAAAAACCCAAATACCTAACACTACAGTGTTTCACCACAATAAACTGCTCCATCCTTGCAGTGAACTATCTCTGCAAGCTTAAAATCAAATTTGTAGGTATAACCACAAAAGTGATGCAAACTTTTAATACATGGAAAGATCTTAAAAGTTCTCTTTATTATTCCATTTTTGGGTTGCCATTATGACTAACCTTGGAATTATCTCTGCAAGCTTAAAATCAAATTTGTAGATATAACCACAAAAGCGATGCAAACTTTTAATACATGGAAAGATCTTAAAAGTTCTCCCTATTATTCCATTTTTGGGTTCCCATTATGACTGACCTTGGAATTACTGAAAAAGATAGCTCCAAGGTTATTCAAATAGCCCCTCACCAGGTCTCATCATTTCAAACAGACAATCACAATGCAGGCACAGTGTTCATCATAACGCCTGCCAAGAAAGAGGTACAATTTAAAACAAAGTCGATTGCCCTTCTTGCGAGTGCATGCCCAAGATAGAAGACGTACAATGAATGGTCATCTGTAGTTATCAGGGCTCTTATGTTGCTCCTCTATGTGGACAGTCAGTGCTCTCACGCCGCTCACGACACCACGTGACACTTAGTATTATCCCAGGCAATATGAGTGGTTTGTGTAATTTGTTCCTTGAATAGATAAAAATAAAGTAAAGAGGAACAATATAACACAAAAAGAGACTGTGTGCCTGTCCTTTTATTTTTTGTTTTACTTTGAACTGCAACAAATGCCTTTGTTTTACACTTCTTGCGTTCTCGCAAATTCTCGCTGTTTCCACATTGTGCAGGCATGAGACCTGACAACAAAACTAATTTTCTACCCTGCTCCAGCACTTGATCAGGCTCGTTTATCCTCTCACGTCTAACTCAATGTTTATGTCGCCCTGGCTTGTGATGCTACTACACCTAGTGACAACTTTAACAACATTTTGTGGCAGCACAACCAAAGGTATGTACATGAGCTTCTGAACCTATGTTAATATGCTAAGTAGTCTATATGCAGGCCAATTCAGTTTCGATTTTGAAAACGTATCCAATATGTACATTTTTGTACGAACACTCATGGCTAATGAAGTTATCTATAGAATAGCGTTATGAAAGATGGGTTATCTACAATCTTATGTCTAAAGCTACCACAAGCCCCGATATACGTATAGATGCAGCCCTTAAGGTACAAATACCTGTATAAATTGTTGAGTTCTTCTGCAAGTCGCATTACTTCAATAACTAATAATATGCTAGTCTTCTAGCGGTTCAAGTTTGCATGCAAAATGTGCACCATTCAGTAATGTTTACATTTTCTGGAAAGCTAAAGAATATTCTTCATGGCAGAGGAACATGGGAAGCAATTATATTGACACGGTCAGTTTTCTTATTATAAGAAAAAAAAGGGCACTGTTAGGCAGAAACTGCACAGTAGGACAAAACTATAGAAAAAGGCAACAAACCATTTCCTAAATTTCTATGCATACAGGGTCAGCATTGTCATTTGTTCACTTTGAAATGCTCATAGCTCATACCCTGTCGGATCCATTGTCATCGAGGCTTTCACGTGCTCAGAGGTGTCTTCAATTTGTTTCATGTGGATCTTCTGTGCACACAAACATGTGGCGGTCATTTCAATTGAAAGGTGGTTTGTGCTTCCTGTTTTGTGAACTATCATTTAGCCTGCCTGCACTGTGTTGCACTGTGTTGAGAATGCACCGTGTTGAAACTTCTTATTCGCAACATTCACTGTTGGCAAACTACTGCATCCGTAGCTTCCAGTTTGTACGGACTAGCACGTACTATTACATGCTGCTTATGTAAGTAAAATATGTCGTGTTTTGTGGTGAAAAGGTGCAAAAGTAGTATGATGCCGTTCATTTGCTTGCCTGTCATTAAATGTGGCAACAAGCTGCAGCCGCAGACGTGTTATTGCGTCAATGCTGCAAAACATTCACGCATTTCAATTAGTTTGGCCTGGAAAGCCAGTGGGGGAGAACAGTCCAAGCTTTCAAAGCACAAGAACATGTTTTCTTGCTCTTGTCTCCTCGTTTCTTTTTTTTTTTTTTTCTTGCCGCCACTTTGAGCCTTCGTGCGCGCAGCCCTTTTAAAAGCTTAGCATGGCGATTCGCTGGAGAGCCTGAGACTTCTCGAAGATGCCCTGCACTCATGCACAGGTCCGAGAAGCGGTACAAGAAGTGCGTGTTATCATGGGAGCTGAGCCAGCTCCTCCCAAAAAGGTGAAGAAGTAACTAACGAAACACTAGGAGAAGCAATGTGATGCCACAACCCAAGCGAAGCATGCGGAACTGGCGGCTGCTGCCAGAGCCTGAGCAGCCACCACTGCAAGCTCCATCCCTGGCGCTTCCCATACGGCGAATCAATCGCCTCTATCGTCCACGAGTGCAAAAGAAGAGGGTTCCATTCAGGGAACCCTTTCCAGAGCGGACACCACAAAGATCGACATCTCGTCAGTCTCGAGCTCCTCCTGGGAGCACCACACGTCCACGTTGTCACCCTCAACATCCGAAATGACCACCTAGCAGAATAGAGAAGACCCGCTGCACTTTTGCGTCCTTTCTCCGACTCTCTCGCCCAACTCGGCCACCAAAGTCCACTCGACGACCCTGGTGCCCGAACAAGCAGCCTCTGCTTTTCCCACAACAGTAGGGAAACGCAGCAACACAGTCATCTAAAGACCAGTGGGGAAGCAAACTAAGTTCCTCACCATGTCTCGCAACACCACCGCAGCGTTTCTTGCGGGATTTGCCGCCACCCTATGCGTCCGCGTTAGTCCGCGCCGTGGATATGCAATTTCCCGGACAGTCACACGACGGTCCTGCATCACCACAGCATTCACTTCGACAATTCCAGCATGTTGATGGTCATTCCAGCATGTTGATGGCGGACCGGAGCGTGGCTCGCTCTCCACTGATGTGGGGCAGTATTTAAACCGGTTGTACCACACCTTAACTCTTTCGTTACCGTGCGATAATGGCTGTTTTTCATATGTCTTAGGAATATAATTTTTGCCAGTTTGAAAAGTACTCCAGCACACATCACAGCATACCAAACTTTGCACAATGAAATGCTTTTTCCGAAATATATATTGTGGAGCAACAAAAATATTTTTGAATGAGTAAAAATGTGAAAAGCATGGAATATTTGGTTGTCAGTTGGTAAACAGTGTAATAAAAAACACTATATATGCAAAAATATTCAAAACAAAGAAAATTCAGTATATACATTTTGTAGATAAATGACCCCGGAAGTGTAAAAAATAATGAATGTACAAAATGTTCATCTTCACATAGACAAAGAAAATCAGAACCAAGGTGCTGCTCCATTGCTCGTGCCATCCAGTGAAGCATTGCATAGTTTTTCGTGAGACACAAGTGTACTCGTAGTTTTTTTCTAAATAAACTTTTGTTGTCTTCTGATAAGAATCTCAAGGTTTTCCAATATAGATGAATACCCGTGGTGTGAATAATTCCTCTATAAATGAAGTGCCCAATGAACTTCTTTATTTCATCTAGTGTCACCTCTTTTCATGAGCCTCCGCACTCCACATAGGTTAGCGTTCCCTTATATGCATCCAAGCAATTTTTTTTTTTTTCGTTTTTGCACATATCGTATTAAAAAGATAATATTGCATGCAGTTCTAAAAGGTTTCGCACTGCTTCGTCAGGGACAAGATGTGCTCCAGGAGCCTTCTTATAGTTAGGAGAAGCTCTGCAGCCAGCGCCAGCACACCGCGCTCCAGGAAAGTGTGAACCGCACACTTCACCAGAGTAGCTAAAGATTGTGCAAAAAGGTCAGAAGCTATAGGCAGTTATGTCGGAGGAGACAGCTTGAAGGTGTAAACAAAACAAACCCATGAACGGCTGTGGATGTCTCAGGCTGACAAAAAACATCAGCACAACTCGAAGCTGAGGTGCTGTCATCTTTAATCTCTAAGCTCGTCCTCACTCTATTTACGTGAGGTAACAAGAAAGTTTTAATGAGCGCATGAGTTTTGTAGCACTGGTGCGCACCTATGCACGCGTGACGACGGCGTCATAGGAGCGACTAGTGACACTATAGATGCAACCTGATATCACAATACAAGCAAAACTAAAGTTGCTGGAAACTGTCATAGGTGGCCACTTCGACACTTTAAACACACTGCGGAGATTTGCAAATATTTTTTTGTACAACAAATTTTCCCTAATTCCTAGAAACAACTCTCTATTGAATATCTGGCATATTATTATGGCAATTATTACTGTTTGACATTGTCAAATTGCATAGCTGACACTTTCATTTGATATTCAGCTTGCAAAGATTCTTTTCATTACAGAACTTTGACGTTACTGTACCATAATCACAAGGGCCACGCACTTCTGTCAAGCTCACCAGCCTTGTGCACTTTTCAAACAATACACGCACGTTGGTTAACGCAAAGGTCTGTCAAAAATCGCTTTGTAACAGAAACGACCAAAT